TCCTGAATTAAATCAGTGTTTCATAACCTTACTTTTCATATTGACTTTGTGTCCATGGGCGTGCGTGTGCTCGCAACAGTTGACACGATTTGTGGTGCTCACAATCGTGGTTTCCTTAGCAACCGAGCCTGAGCAGCAGTCATCTGTCCTGTTGTCATGATAGATGACTCCTCTGTTGTTGTGTCTGCTCTGCTGCAGAACCATGTGTTTCCTATTCATGCTTTATTTACTCCGCTTAGCTAGAGGAAAATCAACACTGGCACAGCTTGCATTTAGAGATGAGCGATAGTGACAGAATGATATACTAGTTCTGACCTCAGCCGATTATGTAATAGTGTTTCTGTCATGATTACTTCTGCTTGCATGCAGTATTTAACTAAACTACATGTTTGGTGAAAAACAATACATGATGTGAACATAATGATTATGTAGATTGGAGTCTACTTTGTTTATATCAATACACTGGGACAGATACATTCTGAAAAGAACATGCAAGAAACACAAACATTTAAGGTATATAAACCTAAAATCCCACATTAGGATCTTGGTATTACATTTATTAATTTCCTGTATTGGCTTGAAATGCACTAGTACTGAAAATGTATTTAGCATCTAATTTGGATTGTTGGTCATACATAACAAGCTATTTGAACAAGAACCTTAAGTTCTGGAAAAAATGTGAAATGACAATTCTAATGTTTTAAATACCAAATTGTTCGAAAAATAATTGTCAGATAATCATTACAATTGGTCAAACGTTTCTATAGAGGTATAGATAAATTCACCACCCTGCGGCATTAACAAAGGATTTTAAATGATGGTGAATGTTGATAACTACACTGACTGTAGTCCAGCTACTTAAATGTGCCATCGTTGCTTCACAGTGGTGCAAAGTGGATAAACACATGGATTAACATCTCGTCCTGTTTTTGTTTTAGGTAAATTGCTCCAGGATCCCATTTCCCCAACACATGCGGAGTGTCAGCATTTTGTCTGTTTGGGCTGTAAAGGCCAGAAGATGCAGTTAAGGACGCCGTGCAGCCGCTGTAAAGACTATTCCAGCTTCCATGAGAACAATCAGCTCTCTTTGCTGGTACAATGCTACAGGAAGCTCTGCCTCTATGTAACTCACTCGCCGTTGCTGCAATCGATCAGCACCCATCTGGGAGGCTCTCCAGAGGTTATGGCCTTGCTGGAGGAGGTGCTTATGTCACATGAGGAGGAGATGGAGACAGATGACCCGAGCCTAGCCCAGGAAGATGTGAATCCATCGGCCCCCGAGTCCCTCACCCCCACAGAAGCACCACCTGCTCCTGCAGAGCTCTCAGCTGTGCCCCAGAGCTCCTCCTCTGACCCTCCCCATTCAAATGGACCACAAGAATGCAATGGAGAAGTGCTGGAGGACCTGGATCCCTCTTCTCCTGAGCTGGAAGTATGCGAGCTGGTAGAGGAGCAGCCACAGGCAGGCCTATCTGTGTCCAATACTGGTTGTGGTGGTCTGGAACTGAATTTGACCACTGGACCTTTAGCCCCTACTCCAGGCACTGTGTGCTCACTCAGGGACGGGGAATCTAGCAGCAGGGAGCTGGAGGAGGGGGAGGTGTTGCTCCTCAGTGTGGAGGAGGTGTTACAGACTTTGGATCCCCTCCAGCCCGGTCGTGATTCTCCTCATACACAGCCAGAACATATGCACACTCACACACGCATCACAACGGACAGAGCACACGCTCAAATGTACATACAGCTGGACGCAGCTCACAATTACACACAGATTCAAACAGACAGGACTAACACAATGGCGAGTCATGGTGCTCACATACACGCATCCTCTTTTGTTCCCCCTCTGACCTCCAAGCCCCCGCCAGTCCGCCTTAAACGTAAGCGTTCTCGTTCAGAGAGTGACAGGGAAAAGGTGAAACCCCTTCCCATTGCCTCCATCCTACAGGGCCCCTCCTCACATTCAAACACTCCAGTCCCCTCTCAGACACTGTACTTGCAACCGCCTACACCCTCCCTAACTGTACAAGCACACTCATACTCGTCCCTTTCCAATGGTGCACCCCCTAAACCCAGCCGCCCTGCGCCAAATAACAATAAAGCTGCCAGGAAGCATGTCGATGCTGGCCCTAAAAAGCCCCATCCGAAGGCCCGCAGCGGTGGAGGCTCCAAAACCAAGGACGGAAACAAAGAGCAGAGGTTGATGTCCGGCTGCCATGTGCCCCCTGCTCCTGTTAGGCCTCCCTATAAGAAGCCAGTGGAGAAGAAGGGCTGTAAGTGTGGCAGGGCTACCCAGAATCCATCTGTGTTGACCTGCAGGGGGCAACGTTGTCCATGCTACTCAAACCGCAAGGTAAGAGTAATCTTTGTTTGGCCTATTTTTAATACTAATATTAATGGCATCATTATGTTATTGGGTGTAGATCTGTGTAAACTTTTATTTTATAAAACTATAATATTTGTTTTATATAAGTAGAAAATGGCACCTGAAAACCTGTCTTTATAATGTAATGTCACTGTTTTTACAAATATAGGTTTATTGCTCTACTGAAAAACACAATTTGAGAAAATGTGTCTTTTGCTCATTTATCATATGCACAACTGCTGTTCTTATTTAAACCTGACTACCTCCTCAAAATTGCGTGGGTTTAGATCAGTCATTTGGCAGCCTATCAGACACTGGTGGGATGAAAATAGACTAAACACTTTTTTTTATCACCTTTCTCAGGCATGCTTAGATTGTATCTGTCGAGGTTGCCAGAACTCCTACATGGCCAACGGGGAGAAGAAGCTGGAGGCCTTCGCCGTGCCGGAGAAAGCCTTGGAGCAGACGCGGCTCACGCTGGGCATCAACCTCACCAGCATCACGGCTGCAGCGGCACTCCGAAACCCGGCGACCACCAGCATCCGCACTAACACCCTCCTCAATGTCGCCACGGCAACAGGGACCCCTGTTACCACGGCCTTCCTGTCCCCCAGCCCCCCACAAGAGCCCACCTATGAGGACAGCCTGGAGCTGCTGATTGGATGAGAGGCTGGGACTCCAAAAATAAATGGCTCGATGCTGATTGAATGTGATGGCTGATCATTGTTTCTGTCAGACAACCTGTCCCCCCCCCCTTCCCCCTTCCTCAATCTAAGGCAGCTATGGGTCTGTCCTGTTCTGTAACCTGCTCTTCTTCTGTGTTGGAAAGTAGTAAGACTAGCATGGGTGTGCCAAAGCCTCCTGTATTGTGCCTGTGTGCCGGTGTGTATTGTTGCCTGTCTGTAGTTAATCACCTATACTCGGTTCCCAGGCTGTCCTGTACTCCAGAGGTGCTTTTTGTTCATAAACCACAGACATACTGTAAGAGGCAATAGGAACCCATAATACCAGGTTTTGTGTTTGTTAGTGTGTGCGCACCATAATATATTTCAGTGTGCGCAGCTGTGATGATACCTGCATCATCTCAGTCACCTGTCCAGTGCTTTCTCCCATGTGAGTATTACTCCATGTATGTTAAAGAAATGCATTACTGGTATCAGGATGGCCCTTACTAATCCCTAACCCCTGTGTGTGTTCACAGCGTAATGGTGAATGAATCTTGTGACTAATCTATGGAGAAGTTATGTCCCACACAAGTCTCTATGCCTTTTCTATCTCATTAACTCACTCAATCCAAGTACTGTCGGCCGATAATGAATTTGTCTTAATGAACTTGACTGATGCAGGCATTGTACACGCAGCGAGATAATGTCAAAGCACTTGGCTGGCTCCACGGTTTCTGTGCGTGTGAGAGAGTGTGTGTGTGTGAGTGTGTATGCGCCTGCTGAGATTTACTGTAATGTCAGTGCGGAGGCGGCTGGTGGGTTGAAAGCACTTAGTCTGATTGATCGGCCAAAATAAAACTGAAACCATTCTTGGTAACCATAGCAATAGGAGCATCAACAAGGAGCCTCCCAGCTCTGGTGCACACATGCAGTTGTTTACAGTATTGCCATTAATATAGACTATACCTGGCTATCTTCTAAACATATTACACCATTATGGATATGACGTGCGTGTGTGTTTAGATAAACTGAAGCCATAGATTGTCATTAACAAGACAAAGTATCCTCTGCGTGTGCATAAACCCACCCCCAGTTGTAGTGTCCCGACTGATTAGTGACCAACTCAGAAGCTATTTTTGATACCAAGTATTAGAGATTTGGTAACACTTGTCTTTTTTCGTGTTTTGGTTGAAGCACCTTGAAGCCCTCCTATAACTCGAGGCTGTGTTTTGTCTGTGTTTGTGTTTACTGTCTCAGCTGTAACTACAACATGTTTGTCAGTCCAGTCACGGCGACCAAAAAGAGACTGAAGGAGAGAGCGGGAGGACTCAGGCTGACCAAACTTACACCGTGGTCCTCAACTCATAGACCAGGAAGTAGCAGGAGGATGACAGTACGGTCAGAAATCTGATCCATCTTCCTGCGCGTGTGTATGTTTCAAAATGTATTTCTTTTGGGCATTACTTGAACCCTGATTAGTTTTTGGTATTGTTTTTTTTAATGTAAAAACTCTTGTTTGAGGAGTGACTCTTATTCTTGCTGAAACATTCACTGCCATAATATGGAAACATGTAATACAACATGAATTAAATGATAGTTTTTTACTTTTTCAGTATTGTGGCTTTTTTGTGCAGCGGGGACATTTATGGGGATTTGCTGTTCAGAGCTGCACATAATGATGGTGTCAAGAAAACACTCTTGAAACCATTTACGGTATTGAAGAGTCACATTAATCCTGCCAATGCAACATTTCTCCAATTTCTATTAGCCTGATAAATATGACAGTCTTCAATACTACAAATTATACGATTTCCCTTTAAAATCAACCCTAAAGTTGATATTTTCCTCACCTCTATAACATATATAAGCGTCTTTGAGCATTAGGAAAAGCGCTATAAAAATCCTATGTACTATATCACATACTCGTGTACAACAGAAATCTTCAAATTAGTAAAAAAACACCTGAAAAAAAGTAGCTTTAAATTGTAATCTTTATAGCAATCGTGTATCCAGCATTCAAAAATATATTGGTATCCCTTGGATATAAAGTGTCAATGCGTAAGAAAAAAAAAAACTCAGTCCATTGATATTAGATCAGTGCTTCTCTTTAAGGCCGCAGGACATCATGATCTGTGTCACATTTATAACAAGAAAATTAAACAAAAAAAGTAGTGTAAACCTGAAAATCTTGAGTCTTCTTTGGCATGTTTGAAGCTTAAGTGTCAATTCTTAAGTGAGGATGACAACTTGACCGTTTGACCTGCAGGCGAATTAGCTTTCTCAGTCCTCAAAAAGAAGTCAGCTTTGCCTCTATTGTCCTCCAAATCCCCTGTACTCTGGAAGCACTGCATAATCCATGTTTGCTCCGTCAGATGGTACATCCTGGAAAACAGAATTATTTACCAGCTCTGGCTTGGCTCTGCAGGAGTCAAAACACAGCTCTTCTTCTTTGCCGTTTTGGGCCACTGGAGCTCTGTCTGGTCATATCCTTGGTCCAGTAGACATCCTTTGCACTACTCAGAGTCCTTCCTTCTTCTCAAATCCTGAACCCTCGGCAGCTGCTCGTATCATAAAGCACACCCCTGACCATTGGGTCTCCTTCTGATGATGATTTCTAAATCAAGTCATCCCAGTCCCGGACACTTCGATCCGGGAGTTTTCCCCCCCCCCTTTATCCCACAAGGAAGGCCCCAAAGTAGCTCGCTCTCCCGTCCATCTCCATGGCGCTGGCGTTGCTAACGGTGATGAAGAGGCGGTCAGCGGGCTGAAGGAAGGCGGTACTGGCCTGATGCAGCGAGAAGAGACCGGGCTCCGGACCCCGAGGCCAGCAGGCGCTCCGGGACGACTTCATCAGCAGGATGGGCACCGTGTAGGAACTCATCTGTGGGTAAAATACTAAATCAAGATCACATTTCTCCTAAAAAGTACACTATCATAACCTTGTACACATCGTATGGTTGTATTGATGATTGCATGATATCTTTTTGATACCAGATACAATGGTGAGTTCAAATACACCCGAGACATTTTATGTTTGATTTAGTTAATTCTCTATTTCACTTTTTAAGTATTTGTATTTTAATGTTGAACACACTGCTTCTGGAACTAAATAATTTCCCAAATTGGGATCAATAAAGTACATCTATCTATCTATCATGACTCATAACAAAACCATGCACCACGTTAAATAGACAGGAGTGGATGTGGCTCAGAGTGAAATAGGCATCGACCAATCAGAAGGCCAGAGGTTTAATCCCCAGCCCCTGCAGTTAACATGTGGAAGTGTCCTTGTGCAAGCTAATAAACCCCAAATTGCTCCCTTATGCATGAAGTCAACGGCAGTGATGTGTATGCAAGTAGCTTTGGATGCAACTTAACTAGATGTGAAAAGTTGTTTCACAGTGGGATATTAGATCCATATATAAATCAAATTTGTTGTCAGGGGCCATTTGTTTGTGCTCTGAGCCCAACAGGATCTGTAGATGTTCTTCATGCCAATCGATTATTCAGCAGAGACGTACCTTCTTGTAGATGTACTGGACAAGCTGTGCTCCCTCCTCCTTGGCCTCCCCCTCTGTCTCCCCTGTGGAGGGCAGTCTGAAGTATGTCTGTCCGTAGATGTAGTAGAGGCCGGCTATGGGCACCAGCAGCTCCCCCCCCCTCAGCTCCATGTTCTGCAGGAAGGACAGACCTCTCCGTCCCTCCCACGCTCGGATTCGCTCTCCCAGGTACCCTCTGCTGCTCCGTGGGCCTGCAGCAGCACATAGGACATATTATGTTATTATAGTTTTCTTTAAATAGTTCTCTATCTGTGTTTTACAAGTCAAATTCCTCGTACGTGTCAACCTACCTGCTAATAAACCTCAGGGTTCATACACTTTTTCACCAAAGATTTTCAATGACTTTTCCATGACCTTTACCTAATTTTCCATGACCAAAATATTTACTCTTTCTCAGCGGTACCACTGAAAATGGTTTATTTTAACATGGAACAGGAAAATAAGGTCTGCATATGAAACATGTTGTGCCTATCTAAAACAAATCAAGTTGGCTTACTAGCTTCTACAGGATAAAGCAACTAAAATCTCTCACCAGCAAAATACCTCGTCAGTTAAATGCCATTTTACGTTTCATTACTATACAATACAGTATTTATTATCATTATAGTATTACTATTTCGGCGATTAGATCAAATATAAATTATATTTGATGCAACTTTAGTTTCATTTCCAAAACTTTGGGAAAAATATTGTTTTCCATAACTTTTCCAGGGCCTGGAATTAGCATTTTGAATTTCCATGACTTTTCCAGGTTTTTAATGACCGTAAGAACCCTGAAACCTGTTTCTGATTCTGATAACAACAAGAAAACACACACATCAATTAAGGCCATTCACTATGATGCAAGATAATTAGATAATAACGGAGTGTTATGGATAACGAGCAGTCAATTATTTTCAAATAAGAAACAAATGTTGAAAGAAATTCCCAGTGTGTAAATAATGCTCACAGATGTGCTCAAAGACCACCGGCTTTTTTAAATTAATTGACGACAGCCACATGTTTAAAAAACTAAAAAGGCAGAAACAGATTAAATCCAGCCACCCTGAGGAGTGTGTGTGTGTGTGTGTGTGTGTGTGTGTGTGTGTGTGTGTGTGTGTGTGTGTGTGTGTGTGTGTGTGTGTGTGTGTGTGTGTGTGTGTGTGTGTGTGTGTGTGTGTGTGTGTGTGTGTGTGTGTGTGTGTGTGTGTGTGTTTAACGAGAGAATGTGGGCCAACGTTCTTGTTTTATGACATTCAGATATTTATTTAGGATGTTGTTTTTTTTTTATATTGTCCTCAAATCCAGTAAACAAAAGCAGACAAGCTCAACACGATTTGAAAAATGCTTTGAAACCAAGTGAAACCAAACTAACTAACCTCTGCTGATGTAAATCTCTAATAAGAAGTGCTAATTTGCTTGTATTTAGGGACTTAAAGGTGGCGTAGGTAAGTTTGAGAAACCGGCTCGAGATCGCTAGAATTTGAAAATACACAACCGGAGAAAATCTGCCACTTCCTTACAGAGCCCCTCCTCCAACACACACGAACGCGCACATGACCAATGAGGGCACGAGATAAGTTTGTGCACAGATGGAAGGCTGACAGGCAGGTAGGCCATCCAGTTATTTTAGCCGGGCCGGCTCAAATGATTGGTCGTACTTTTTACAGTACTACAGCTTCCACAGATGACATTTTATTAATGGATATTTTGTCAAAGCACTTAAGATATTCATTGCTATCGGGATGTTAAGAGCATTCCATGGAATATAACAAAAAGTGTATCTCGAGCCGGTTTCTCAAACTTACCTACCCTACCTTTAAGTTATATAATTTCCCACACATTATTAGAGGTGCATGTTTCCAATAAACATTAATAATTGTTTTGGATAATAACTTTCTGAAAATGCTGTATACGTTTTTTGACAATCCGAGCAATTGGCAATCGGACTGGTCACGGAGACAACTATAGAACATTTTTGAAAAAGATAAGGCAGCTGCACATCTGCATGTCCTGACAAACATTTAGGTATGAAGACTTTACTGAATCCTGGGAAGCCTTGAAGCACATTCCTCACCTCTGGCCCTGGAAATATGTCAGTGAAGCAACACAGCACTTACTGCTGTTTGAGCATTGTGAAATTCTGTCGTGAAATTCAATAAGTTGTCCGTTATTCTTTCCAGGACTCTTACTTAGTATACACTCTGGATATCATTCCTGCACTACTTTTAAAGTCCTCACCATCTGCTGTTGAAGGCTCTGAGGACGAGAGGACACCCGTCACATGGGCCGCAACTTTAGGAAGAGGGACCCCCGAGCTCAGGAATGGCAACACTCCTGTTAGCTTATCTGTGAAACCAAAAATAGATAAGAAACACATACAAAACGTTTTTTTTGTGAAAAAAAAAAATAGTTTACTTCTATTAGTAGCAACTGATAGTCAATGGAGGCATTGTTCTCACTTGTCATGGCTGTAGATATCTCCTTCTGGAATCTGTCAGCCATCGTCTGAAAGAAAAACACCCAGAGAGACAGAAAGGAACGAGACGGGGGAAAGAGAGGGTGAGTAGGCGGCAGGTTACAAGCATCTTGACCTCTTCAGTTATTATGGATGTTAGCTATCTTTAGATCTTAATTGGCAATACCGGGGACCTCGTCACCCCCCTCTGGATCAACAAATATGTCATCAGTAATAGCGATACTCCCCTTAGGGTGATTTATAATGTGGAGTTGCATCATTATTCAAGTTAAAGGTCAAGTGATTAGTCAATTTTTCTTAAAATGCTGTAACATCTTGGACAGAATGTGCTGTGTGGACAGCCCTGGAAAAACGTTGCATCTGGTTTAACTAAATATGCTAAAAATAACTTTCTAACACATCTTGTTATCAGGGAAGATAAATTGAAGTTAGATAAAACATAAATAAATCAAAAACCTTCTCTATGCGGTAGTGGAGCTGTTGCAACACTTGCCAGCAGGGGTCGCTCTTCTTGTCCTCGGCTGAATCTTCGGCCTCTGAGCGCAGATTTGCGTTAATCAGACAGGAAACGCTACTGCGGGAGAAACTCTCTTGCATCTGAAAAGAAAAAACAACAACTTACCCATCATTACTTTCATTCTCGATAGTTGTTATTCTTGAGTAATTTATTAGTTAGTTTCTACCCTACACATGGAGATTCCAAAACAGAAAATCGAAATTACGTAACAATTAATCACATTTTTTATTAACTTATTGTTTCAATCCGCTTGTTTTTGAATAATTCATTGAGGCACAGTGCAAAATGTTATGTAGCTAATTTCTGCTAAGCTAAGTTTCATGTGGCTTTTTGCTTTGACTTTGTTTGCAACACATAAATATATAAAAAAAAAAAACACATTTTAAATCTTGTCCAATTAAAAAAACCTTTGCAAGAGAAATACAGTATAATCTACGGAGCCCCCTAGGGGACATGGAGAAGAAAAAATGTTTGGCGAGATCTCGAGATTTTCATTTATCAAGCCCCCAGGAAGTGCGCCGGACTCTGAGGAAAATATTCGTTGTGTCCAAACGGCGGTATTACAATTTCCGTATCAGTCCGTGACATCACTGGGCCCAGAAATACTTTTTCCCATTGACTAACATGGGGAAAGAGACGTCTGTAAATCAGCGGATACTTTTTTTTAAACTAATTAAACTACCCAGTATGAACTATTGTATAGCCCTTATTAGAATCATTAGGTCCTTAAAGTTGTAAAATGCACTAAAAGCCGAATCTAGATTTATTTTCTGTCTCCATTCATTCTAGTGAGCCGAGAGTGGGCGCTCGGGGGGCGGGGCTTAAGGGGCGAATGCTCTGTGAGCGCACATACGGGTTCTTCTGCTCTGACAGCTAGGCATGATGGGTAATCTGTGACGTTTAGCTCTCTCAAAAGTTGGGCCATTTTGTCCTCATGCGCCAATGAGCAGCTCTCATAGGAAAGAACGAGACCCCCGCCTCCGACGCTGTATCCAGTTCTTATTATACATCCATGCAATTGACTGGGGGGGCCAGGCTGGGGCCAGCTATTTTCTGAGGGGGGCACAATAAATGCAGGACGAAAAAGGCAAAGACAGTATAAAGTAATTGCGCATAAGAAAACAATGCAATACAGTTATTGGTATTTGTTTCAGTACACATATTTATTTCAGATACTTATAGTTACAGTTTTTACGCTCTAATGGGTCCGACTAGAATGACAAATAGCGTTAGTTCCGCCTATTCCGTCAGCCAATAAATCGTTTAATCATAAACTTTGAATTTTCTTTTCATTTTCAGGGGGGCCACAGGGGGGTCCAAAGTCAGTGTTAGGGGGGCACTGGCTCCCCCTGCCCCCCCCCCCCCCTAGAACCGCCCCTGCTTATGTGAAACCCGTGCCTATTGCCAAGCACTGATGTTATCTTTATATTTTAGGCCAAGCTCAAAGTAAAAATCGATGTCCCGCTCCATTGTTGTGGTTTCTGTGTTGCCAAACTGACCCGGAATTACATTGAGCTAAATGAAAAGTTTTGCGAGATCTCGCAAAGGGGTTTTGCGAGACCTCGCAAAACAATTCATATTTTATTTTTTTTAACCTATTTTTTTTTTCTTCTCCATGTCCCTTAGGGGGCTCCGTAATAATCTCTTGGTTGTTCAGCCAAAATACAAAGTGATGGTACAGGTGGATGACAATTAGCTAATTGACATGCAATTAGCTCTGAAGTGGTCACAGGTGATGTGGGCGTTTTTTAATAGCTTCTTAGCCAATCAGAGCTCAGCACCAGATCTATCAGCTCTTTCTATTTGTCATAATATCAGCTCAATTTTATGATATCTTACTTATGGGCGTAAACACCCCCATAATCCTTAGTAGTCTCATTTCCTGACATTGTCTTCTGTTATCTACTCTTGCAAATATCTGCCCTCTCATTGTCCAGCTTCATACAGTTATTGCATGCCAGTAAGCTGCTTTTTACCTCATATCACCCAGTTACACAACTTTAAAATATGAAGCCTGCGATGTTTAGTCCCTTAGATACAGGAAGTAGATCATTCAAATTGATGACCACTTCATGACATCATTTATTATGACAAGATTTTACTAAAACGTTCAATACTGTTTTACCAGGTTTGCATATTAGTCTTCGTACTATATGGTGAGTTGTCAGTGATACATTCAAAGTCACATTGCTATGCTATATGCGTAAGTGTGTCACTTGTTGGTATCACTGTTAAATTCATGGTAGATTATTATGAAGTGTATTTGGCCTCCGTAAACAAGTGTCAAATCTCCCCTCTACCCTGTAAAATGGCAGTCAGTTAGCTGTTATCATTATCATTTAGATAAAGGAGGAAGACAGGGTCCCTTCTTACCGTGCTCAGGACTTTGTTGAAGTAGACAAAACTGACCGAAACCGCGATGGTCTGCAGGAGGATCGCTGCGAGCAGGATGAGCCCCAGACTCTGGAGGGAAACAGAAACAGCCATATCTCAGCCTGAGTGTTGCACTAAAATCAGTTTCCGAGAGGCAAGAAAATACTTCCAGCAGCAAGGACAAGTCGGATCAGGCTCTGCTGCATTTCTGCTCTGGAGAGGGAGAGAGGGAGAGAGGGAGGGGCGGGGGAGGTTCGGAGGATTACAACAACCTCAAGATGTCACTGTTATTAGAATGAAATGAGCTGGGAGCTTAATGCTGCACATGCAACTTCATGTCACCTTCAAGTGCTCTTGGAAAAGTGGAAACTTGTTTAAAGTGCATGTATAACACAAACCTTTATTTTCTTCTTAAATGGTTGAGATATTTTACTTTGATTTTTGATTCACATGCCATTAATAATGAAAACCAGTATGACAGATAATTTATTTAGAACTAGTTTTGACCGTTTTCTCTCTGCAAGGTCCATTTATAAGTAAATAATCTGGAGTAATAAATCATATAAGATGCTATTTGCACCCGGGTGTCTATAGTCAACAATACTATTTGTACCTGGGTGTCTATAGTCAACAATGCTATTTACACCTGGGTGAAAATAGTCTACAATGCTATTTGCACCCGGGTGTCAATAGTCAACAATGCTATTTACACCCGGGTGTCAATAGTCAACAATGCTATTTACACCCGGGTGTCTATAGTCAACAATGCTATTTACACCCGGGTGAAAATAGTCAACAATGCTATTTTCATCCCGGGGTGTATACAGCATGCCAGAGAAACGTGCACAGAGGTATCCATAGTAGACCCGGGCATACATTTGATTATGTATGCCAATACATTTAGTTTTCCTATAGTTACAATGGAGTTATATGTATTCAGATTTCCACACTTCATAATTGAACATTAAGATGTAAAGTTCATTTCATTAGGCTTAAAATAATTACACAAAATATAGGCCTATACAAAATAGATACATGATCTAAAATGTTTACTGTAATTGATGTCTTGCATCTAATCGGAGCGATTTGTGATACATTGGGAATTTTCAAGCATATAGAAGTTTTACATTTATAGCAAATGTAAATGTGCTTTCTATCAAGTAGAACAAAAATAATTATTCTGAAGTTTCATCTTTAAAGTGTCAAATCCTTTGAGTTTTGTGTAGCAGATGCATAGACTGTATATATAAAGAGCAGATGTTGATAAAAGGCAGTGGTTTCTCGGTATTTGAAATTGTTTCCTTTCTGTTGTTCGGAGTATCTTTGTTCCTCTTTAATGCCTCTCCCAACATCTGTTGCAATTTGGAACTTGCCTAATTGAATTATTACTTCCAGCCAAAAGGATTTTAATGCAGAACAAATTGTTTTTACTACTCCCAGACTTCTTATTTAGAGCCACAAAGGTAGCTATGGCGTTTGTCTGATGCATTTGAGGTGAGCATTGAGGCTCTGGAAACACTCAGTGATGTCTTTTGAGATATTTGTTTTGCATTTTTTCTCCATTTGAATGGGTGTTGCTAAAAAAGATAAAACAATGTCATGGTGTCATAGGACCAAAAGCACTTAACTGCCGTGCAGACAGCAGATAATCAACATCTGAAAACAAGATGAAAAAGGCTTTTCTCTTCTCTATCCTGCTATTGTGAAGTGATCTGAGAGCACGCTACTCGATAAGTGCCAAGTGACCCGCCATTGTTTTGGTTATGTGTAGCCCTAAGTAGTGTTTGTCTCTCCGGGGAGTCATTCAACCTGCAGAGCTTAACCTTGAGTGATTCCTGCAGGTTCCTTTACTTTCATTCCTTCACCTCTAACCCTGCGCCATTGTCAGTGTGAGGAAGTGAGAGTAGAGCTGAAGGAATTCACGGCTCCTGGATGTGCACGACCCTCCCAACAATCAGGACCAGTGTTAAAGCATGTGCCGCTCACTCACACTGGCACACATGCAGCTGTTAAGTTCACACAGATAGTAGTGCTGTAACAGTTTCAATTACATTGTTGGCATGGTAAGCAAGTTCAGGAGGAATTTAAGTATTTGGTTAGTTTCCTTTGCTGATTAAAATCTCAAAAAAACGGAAGAGACGGTGATAAAAGGCTCTTGTGTTCCCTCAGGTGCGTCAATTCCCAGGCTTGTCAGAGAGGAGCCGGGGAGAAGGTGAGTGATATCTGAAGACTGGCTGGCCTCGGGCATGGAAGATGACACCCTGAGAGACATGCCTGTCTACAGTCCCATGGCAAACCAACACAGACAGATCAAGAAGGTATGTGTGCAGAAGTGAGTCATTTTAAGCCATGTTTAAACCTTTTTTCCCCCCATAATTTGATTAGTAATTATTCCTTTTATCAGCCAATCAGTCATGACTTTTGCCCTCTGTCAGACACGTCAACATGCAGCAGGCCCCGACTGGCTTTAATCCTCAGGTGTTTTAAAGCTTAAAGTTAATGGAACAACATTTTGGGTAATGTGCTCATGTATTTTCTTTTTCAGAGCAAAACTACAAGGTTGACACACTACAATACAATACAGCTTTATTTATAGAGCACTTTAAACCTCCAGACCAAAGTGCTGAACAGTCAAATAAACAAAACAAAACAAAACATACAAAAAATAACACAGCACAGCTCACACACGCTCATAAAACAAGTACAGGTAAAAACAATAGACAATTTAAAAGTAATAAAAGCAACACTCTAAAAGATGTTAATACGCTAAGGAGAAGAGGTGGGTTTTAGGAAGCGATTTAAAAGCAGACAGTGTGGCGGCCTGTCTGATGTGCAGGGGCAGATCGTTCCACAGTGTGGGAGCCGCTACAGAGAAGCAACGGCCCCCTCTGAGCTTTGACTTGGTTCTGGGCACATTCAGGAGCAGCTGATCAGCTGACCTGAGATGGCGGTTGGGCGTGTAAGGGTGTAGCAGCTCAGAAAGATATGGTGGGGTCATGCCATTTAGGGATTTAAAAGCAAATAAAAGGATTTTGAAATGAATCCTAAAATGTATTGGCAGCCAATGGAGCGAAGCCAAAATGGGGGAAATGTGGTCATATTTCCGTGTGCCAGTTAAAAGCCACACATAAGAAGTTACAGCCATCATCCCAGCTAGCTTAGCCTAGCATAAAGACTTAAAAACATGGAGAAACCAGCACCTCCAAAGCTCATTAATTAACATGTTAAATCGTGTTTGTCTAATAATGACAACCAAATCAAACCACCTTGTGTTGCCTTCAAGCTTGTTTTTTGTCACATATATTTATATTAATCGGCTGTGGAGAGGGAGAAGGTGATTGTTTTTGTGAAACTTCCCTGAGTTTGAAGGAAATATAAATCAATTGCTTGAATAGCAACTAATCATGAAAACCAATGTTTATAAAAGTTAACTAAAAATATCAATACATCGCATGGCATTCACTATACATGAAAATGTGCAAACTGTAAGCTTAAAAAACTGGAACTAATTGTGTTCCATCATCAAATACCTCTGTTTCTCTTTGGTTACCACGCAATACACAAATATTTTTAGACTCGGAGACTCATGATGACACTTTTTTGCCAAGCCTTTAAATCTGATACAAAAATTACTTGGAAACAGAGAAGCAAAGGGGAGCTGCTGATTTTCTGGGAAATTGAAAGCAGCTTCCCCTTGAAGTTAAAAGGTTAAAAAGACCCTGAAGACTTATAATGGGTTTAGAGGAAGGATCAAACTCGGTGCATCACCCTCTGTCCTCCCCTCTTCACTCCCCCAAGCTTCTCCTCCCAACGTTCCTCTCCATAAAGTCATGGAATCTCCCTAAACTCCCGCCTGAGCATTACAGCTGCTCATTGTCTCATTTATAAAACAAAGACTATATGCTGCAGCAGCACAATTGCCAGTGTTAGTGAGTGTGTCAGTGGAAGGGTGTTTCCCTGATAGGAAACTACTGTATGTGAATGTGGAGTCTTAGAAACTGAGCCAAAACAGAGGTTAATATTCAACTCACAATACTTCATTTCCAATATTTTACCTTGATCAGTGGAGGAATATCTAATTACAAGTACCACATTCAAAATGTTACTTTATTTTACTTAAAGGGGTCTATTATTGTTCATTTTTATATTCATATCTGTATTTTGTTCCTCTACTGTGACATGTCTCCATGCTTTAATGTTCAAAAAGCTCTTTATTTTTTCTCATACTGCCTGTGCTGCAGCACCTCTTTTCACCCTCTGTCTGAAACCAGAGCCCAGTCTGCTCTGATTGGTTAGCTGACCGGCTCTGTTGTGATTGTTCAACCGCTTATGGCGCATTTCCACTGCAGCGCGTAGCACGGTTTAAGCATGCCGTGCCAAACCCGGCACGTTTTTTGTTGCGTTTCCACTAGGGGTAGTTCCGGCTAACGGGTACTTTTTCACAGTTTTTCTGGCTCTCCAAAATCGTGGTTCTTTCCGGGCCAACAACCGGGCTGAGTATGCTAAACTAGTGAGAGAATTTCTGGCAAGGGGGCTACAACTACAACAAAATGAACATATTTTACCGTGATTTAATTGAAGTACACGTTTCAAAATGATGCCGAAGTAACAACATACTGATACCGGTTACTAAAAACCATGAATTAATGCTTTGACAAGTCTGCAGACAGACGGCAGGCGAAAAACCTTTTAAAATGCGTGTTTTCTGAATGGAGATCGACTGAGCTAACGCAGTATATGCTCCGACCGTCCACACTCATAACAACGGCCTATACAGACATAAATAAACCAGCAACTGTACTCGCCATGACACAGACAGTCTGTGGTGTGTACTTGTTTAACTTTTGTCTAGTTTCTGAACAGATATGAGGAGCTGTGAGCTCTGAGTGCTAACAGCTAACGGCTGATGTTGGTTTTGTGTTTCGCATTAAAGATGACGTCACGGCTCCGCCTACACTGCGTTACTATAGTTACTGCCTCAGCTACTAAACTGTAATGGAAACGCAGCATACAGTGAGCCTGGCCTACCAAGGCCTAACTATACCGTACTAAGCCTTGCGAGGCCCTGCAGTGGAAATGCGCCATTAGAGATGTCCCGCCCCTTAGCCTATCACGTACAATGTGTGCAGCGCTAGCCAATAGAAGCGCGAGTGTTGCATTGTGATGTCATTATGTCACGGAAGTTATAAAAGGATTCCAATTGTTGTGTTTCCTGCAGGGGGAGTGTGTGGGAGAGAAACTCCCTCTCGAGGTAACTTTTGGATGTTAGCCTTTGCAGACCATTTACATGCACAAAAACCTACAGTATAACACACTACACGAGAGGGAAACTATAAAAAAGCATAATAGGGCCTCTTTAAAGTCAACAGAAATATCTGACAGGCCTAAAATTTGACCCTGAATGTTGAATCAATATAGGTTTTTATTATTGGATTGATGTTACTAATTAATTTAAGTAGCATTTAATTGTTGTAGATGGTTTAGGAGTAACGCATTTGAATACTCTTAATTTGTAATCTATAATGATGTATCATATTTTAGCAATCACAGTATGCTTATATCAGTAGTAGTAGTGGTAGTGGTAGTAGTAGTATAGTAAAAGTACAATATGCTTCTGAAATGTAAAGTAACATTACATCTCAAAGTGTTTTTATGTACAGTACTTAAGTAAGTGAAGTAAGTTGCAGCAGTAGTTATTAAATGTGTGTTTGATGAGGCCGTAAAGCTTCATGATGTTCTCTGTCCACTAGAGGGCGGTGATGCATTGATAATGGCTGCTGCTGGATTTTTTTTATTGACCCAGAGATTCACCCTGAACATCCGAAACATGTCTGAACATGAACATGACTGCGAGCTGGTGCAGATGTTAGGGCTTGGGAGTCGATACATTCCCTAAAATAGCAATGTAGAGGACACGTGCACCATAAATGATCTATGTTGCAGCTGGATAATCAAAACCACCCTGTTATTAAACTCTTTCTGCTGTGTCGACACATGTGTATGAGTGTGTGTGTAGCCCTATAGGAACTCCTTTCCTCTTTGTTAGTTCTTATTAGGGTTAGATAAACAACTTTTGATCACTTCTTCTGCAATTTTGGGACTGCTTCTGCCAAGTAAACCATCAACTACAGTGATTCATTCAAGTTTAATAAGTGCATTCAGGCATTTCAATCAGAAAACATTTATTTTATAGTAAGTGCATGGTCCGATACAGAGTGTAAGTAAAACACAATGTGAATGACACATGAAGCTAAATAGTGCATTTAATCAGTGATTGTCAAGGAATCTGTTAGGAAAGACATTACTTCTTGTATTGCAGGGAGCACAAGATGACTACTACATTTCGAGAACACAGAAAAACCACAGAAGAAAATTATTCCCTGAAATATATATTTTACAAATGTGTTATGTGTCCCATGTGAACTCGTTCTTTCCTACTATATCAATTGGTATTCAAATGAGTGCCAACAATGACAACACTGAAGTCCTGATGCTTAGCAGATAATGCTCTCCCTGTAAACAATCTGAGTTTAGGGCAAATCCAAATTTTAACCCGATAATTTAAAGTAAGGGGATCACCAAAGTTATATAAAAGAATTCACGACGGTTGATAGTTGTCAACACATTTAACTCAAAACCACAAATGTCAACCTTGTGGTGCCGCGAGAGGAAAGGTCAGAGAATCAGTCATTAGGATTTATCCTCCAGTCTTTACAACATTTCATGGCAATCCATATAATAGTTTTTGAGACATTTCAGTCTGGACCTAAGTGAGGGACAAAAGGTTACTTGTTTGGACCCATAATTAAACAAAAAAGTGCATCAAACAGTGTAAATGAAAGTTACATAAAACACGAATTACAATCCTTGTGAAATATATTGTGGCTTAAAGATCCTCGTAAAAGCTTGTGGCTGTGAATCTATTAAGTATGTTTGTTAGCTGGTCACAGTGTTAGCCAAGTTAATGTTAAAATATGTGCCCTTCTCCGCTGTCAGCAGGGTTAGCCATTACACTGCTAACAGACCTCAAATACTCCTCTACCAAGAGTGTGTGTATCTGCAGGAACAGGAGGACCCTGAGCTTAAGCTTGAATATTTAAATCAAAAACGAGATGCGTTAGCCCTTGTATGATTCATAAAGCTAAAGGACTAGTGCGTTTGTATCAGACCACACACACACACACACACACACACACACACACACACACACACACACACACACACACACACCACACACACACACACACACACACACACACACAACACACCACACACACACACACACACACACACACACACACACACACACACACACACACACACACACACACACACACACACACACACACTCACTCTTACAAGTTGTTCTGCAGCCAGTCGAGGTAACCTCTGACTGCTCTCTTCCCTACTTCAAAATCCATCGGCCAGGTAACAAAGCTGAAACACCCGTGGAAGCCGTCCAAGTAGTGGTCGGCGGTTACCGTGACACCCGAGTCCTGTAAGCGCCGTGCGTACATCAAACCGTCATCCCTCAACACGTCATGCTCGCATGTCAGGATGTACGCTCGGGGGCTTTTAGCCAGAACCTCGGGTCCTGCTAACAGAGGAGAGGCCCTCACATCTAGGAGCCCCGGCACCTCCCTCACCCCCCCCTGGGAACCTTTCTCCACAATCAGAGGCTTGTAGTTCTTCTTGTATTTCGGGGACAGAAGGACGGTCCAGTCTACGCGCGCCCGCAGCTCTGGGGTGATGTTTGAGTGCTGTAAGGAGCTGTGGTTGTTCACCAGCAGCTGGGGCAGCAGGGAGGGGTCGGCACCGAAGTACTGCAGCCAGAAGCGGACCATGATGGGCCGGTAGAGGATGGGAATGTGTTGGTTCTGCAGGTAGGAGGGCGTGTTGAAGTCCAGAGCCTGGAGCACGGGGTAGATCAACACCTGGACGCTGAATTTCACACTCATAGTGTCATCTGTGGAAATCTGGGAAAATGCAAGAAACATAAGGCCACAATCTCTCAATACTGACAGAACGTTAACTAAGTTACTTTACTCAATCCTAGTTAATGGTTTTACAAATAAAAACACATGATATGCTTACATAGGATGCAGTACTGTAGTACTGAAGTACCCAGTATTTTTCACGCAATAAAAACAGGATAAAATAATGTACTGTGAAAAGTGCTGTTTTGCCTTTTGAGTACTTTTACCTTTGATATTTCAAGTCAATTTAGCGGATAACCCTTTTACCTTTACTTCAGACATTTTTTGTATTTAGAAATGTACCTGTCATGGAGAATCTAAGTATTTCTACTTTTCATGAAGTAAAGGATCTGAGGACTTTTTCACAGGAGATCTGGACCGTACCTCCTGAGTGACCGCAGCAGCCAGGTTTCCTCCGGCACTGTCCCCGGACAAAGCGATACGCTCCGGGTCGATGGCATACCTGGCCCGAACCTCTGCAGACAGGAAGTGTTTGGCAGCAGCGAGGCAGTCTAGATACGGCACCGGGAAGTTCACCTCTGGATACATACGATACCTAGACAGACAATGGTTGCAAATTACAAGTTACTGGAGGCATAGAAAACTTTAGAGAATATGATTATATGGACTCTTTCTGTAGTTATGGGGTTGTCATAATTTCTACAGTGTGAGTAGAGTGTGTTTCTTTCTCTATGAGCAGAAACAAATTGTAGATTAGTGTTGCACACTTACTCAACAGAGACCACAACGGTGTTCAGCTCGTCCGACAACATCCGGTTGATCACATCATACGACCCCTTCTCTGAGGACGTGATAGAAAGATGGGGAACAAAAAAATCGTTGCTGAAATATGCTTTTTTTTTAAAGATTTACAGCAAGGCACAAAGTCAAAAGTTACTACACGGACTCATTTTGTGAAATTTAGACATCTAGAAATGTCACTCAAGGCAGAACATTTTACATAAAACAAGTCAAGTCTGAGGAGCTTGTTATTGCATTTATAACCTCTTTAGAACACAAAAAGCTAACAAAACTCGCCTTTTGCCAACTTTAAACAGAGATAACAGTATACACCATCACCACCATTTGTAGAGCCGAAACATCTAAGGAAATACTTCTTCGGTCTTTTTCTGTTTCAATTTCCTCTATTTGCCCTGAAAGGCGAGAGGAATGTCCAAACTCACTGGTAGTGCCGAGGGCCCAGCCTCCTCCGTGGATAAACATCAGCCCTCTCCTCAGATGACCCTCCCCTCCAGCCGGGGGCTCGTACACACGGACAGGGACGCCGGCGAAAGTGATGTCGCAGACTTTAACTCCCGGCATGACCCCTCCTTCGGACTGAGAGCTGCACATCCCCTGCATAATGTCCTCAAAACCTTCTGTCGACTGCCTGAGGGACTGGATGTAATGATCAAAGCCTAGCCAAGCTTTCAATGACGCCTGAGGAACGAGAAGACATTTAAAGAGGACATGTTATGATAATGTTCAGGTATCAGATTTGTATTTTGTGTCTCGACTGTGACATGTTTACATGCTTTAATGTTCAAAAAGGTATTTATTGTTCTCATACTGCCTGAGCTGCAGCACCTTTTTTGACCCTCTGTGGGAAACCAGAGCCCATCTCTAATTCAACCGCTTAGAGATGTCCCGCCCCTTAGCCTATCACGTACAAATGTTAGAGCTCTAGCCAATAGGAGTGTTAGTGTAACATAGTGATATCGTTATGTCACGGTAGTAACGAAGTACTCCAATCACTGCGTTTCAGGCAGAGGGGAAGCGTGTGGGAGAGAAACTCCCTCTGGAGAGAACTTTTGGATTTCAGCCTATACAGACCATTTACATGAATCTATATAACCCACAACAGGAAAGGGAAAACGCCCAAAAGCACAATATCTTTAAGGTGTATTTAAGCAAAGAGTGAAAAAGGAAAATTGGGGAAAGATCAGATGTGTTCCTCTCTTGGGATGGACTTGAGAAATAACTGTCTACCCTAGTCACCTCTCTCCTCCTGCACTTTGTGTTACTGATGTGTCTCAGTGCGTCTGCCCTCCTCCCCACAAACATCTCAGACTGTCTCAATCCTCAGGTTCAACTAAGGCCAGCAGACACAGCTGTTTGACACATTGGGGGCTCGAAGCCACACTGAGACATTTGTTGTTGGATTTCCAGCCCCTATCTGTTCCTGACCTCGATCTCTACCTGCTTGCCTGTAAGCTTATGAATCCTCGCTTCCTGAATAAATCACTGAACTGTTCCTGCCTGGATTTTCTGCATTTGGGCACTTTTTCTTCTGCATCCACAACTGTTTCCATTTTGATTTTCTTTTAAAAATGTTCATCGTAAAAGCAGCAATGTTAGTTCAATGCTGTAACGGTGGAGTACTCGATACGTCCCTTATTTAGATGTATTTTAGTAAAGCTAGTTTCGGAGTAAAGGCCTTCATTGCAATTGCCATCAGCCTTAAAAAAAACAGAACAAAAGCACTACTACACCCCATGCTCCACAGTATTTAATTGACTGTTTTAATACTTTGTTAATGCTCTATTTTAGGGTTTGTTATCTTGTTTATTGAATTGTTTTGTTTGCATTTGTTGTGTGTCTTGGTGTGGCTGCAATCTTAAATATAGTGGACAATGAGGTGCATTGTATGATATGATCAAAAACACCTTCACTCTAGTTTTTAAAACTCCCTCATCCCCAATGATAGTTGTTAATGTTATATAACAAGACATTACATCACAATGGTCAGTATACTGTGGAGCTACAAGGGCCCTATAAGTAGAACATTAAGCTCTCTCAGTTTGGCTATTTCCATAGTATCAAATGTAGAACAAAGGTGAGGTGAAGAGCATGTTGTAACCAGAACAAACTCTCTGATGGCTGCTTTGCAACACATTAATAGTGTGGAAACAGCTTCATTAACTGTTTGTCCTGAAAAAGCTCTTTCACAAGGTTTGTACATTTCTCCCTGCTGTTACTAATGAGCCTTAACTTATTTAAGCATGAGACGACAAAGAGAAGCACTGTAAACTACCCATAACTGAAATCCATAACAGAGCATAATGCTGGGGTTTTTACAGGGAAATGTACTCAGTGTGAATCAATACATGAAGGTTACAGGTCATGACATCTAAACTGAAAATACACTGCTTAACTAAAAACAAATTGTAAGACATTTATATATGCAATAATAACTGAACTGATCTAAAGGCAGTCATTGCAGGGTTAATATTATTCAACACATGGCAGAGTGGGTAGGATCAAACTCCGAGTGTGCACACAGACTAAGTGTGCTACTGTGTTGTAACGGCCAGAACAAGCAATACGGATTTTCTATATCTGGAAAACTACTGTTGTATAGCATTTTTTGTGCAGATTAGATCATAATCATAGCTGAAAATGCATTACAGCACATGTAGCACAATGCATTCCCAATAAAAAAAAATCTCCCATCTCTCACCAGGTGCATCGTTGTTCGGAAACCAAAATCCAGTATCATCAGCCTCCAGGGCTCCTGGATGGTTTCAGGCAGCGGGATGTACACATAGTAAGCGAGGGCCACCGTCAGGGACAGAGAGACAGCAGCTGGCAGCAGCCTCATGGTGTGTGTTTGTGTGTCTGTGTGTCAGCTTCAGTGTCTGCAGACTGACTGCAAGACAACCTGCCTCCAGAGATGGCACTAGAAATGACTTTATGGGACCTTTAAGAAAAAATACTTCCGGATAAAATCCTTCAAAATAAAACCCTTCAAAATAAAACCTTTATTGACATCCGTTTGACGTGTAGTCTGAACCAAGCCGATCAATCAATGAATGGATTGATTGCTATGTGATTGGTCATTGGGCTTTAATCGATTCAGGTCTGATCTTTTTATAGCAAATATTTCGCCATAAATAAATCATCTATGTTAGATATTTTTTATTTGAATAGCCCCATGCATGGTATATGAAATAGATATAGTTTCATTTTCCTCCATGGCGTGTAGGACAGAGAGTGAATACACATACTCAGAGATGCTGTATGAGAAACCAATATGATTTTGGAACATTGAACAATGTAAATCTATTCTAGTAGAACTCAACAATGGAATTATGATCAGTAGAAATGGCCATGACATGTGACCTTTAAATCCAGCTGTACTTTGGTGAAAAGTTGTATTACATGTATGTGGCCACAGAGAGGCACAAGAGAGCTGCAAAGAGGACTCCATAGCTCCATACAAACACAGGACACAGTACATAGCCCACATCTTGGCTTGTCTATCAGTTTTACCCTACATTGCAAGGGGGAAATGTTATCTCTGACACAAGTAGTTGGCTAGAAAACTGCTTTAATCATTGAGAAACATTACTTGAATAGCCTACAGATCTAATCCAATTGTTTTGCTGTATTGTTTTCTATTTGAAAGAAAGACAATTATCCCTGAAAAGATACATATTTATCTTAAATGTATAATCTCAGATGGTGCCCACATTGTCATTGATTGCTGACAGCTTCGAGGCACTTGTTGTGGGTCTAATTAAACCACATATACGATTAAATCAAGTTTCTGCTCCCACTCAAGCTTGTTGTACATCTTCCAGAAAGAGAACAGTCTGTTGTTTGAAAGTGCAGCAAAGACTGGTAAATGCATGCCCTGTATATCAGGTAGAGTCAGAAGTGCAACTCACTATTGATGTCTTTTATGTGCACAAATCAATACTGGAGCGAAGTCTTTGGACAGAGAAAAGAGATCAGACTCAGCGTGATTGTTCAAAGGCTATTGATTCTTACACCTCCAATCTTTCTGTCTGATCAAAGGTTTTTGGTGTGATTGTAACAGCCACGATTTGGCCTAATATCTTTGATTTTTTTGGGGGTACATTTTTGCCGTCTGACAGAGTGCAAAGAGAATCGGGGAAAGATGAGTTCAGAGAGAGACAGGGTTTCATCAGCAAAGGTCCCCGCCGGCCAAAATCAAATCAAGGACGTTGCAATTAAACACCATGCATCTCAGACCAAGGGTCAAAGAGTGTCGGTGTCACTGTCTCACTCTCCCTCTGCGCTATGTATCACCCTGTCTCTTCCCACGGTTTAATTTTTAAATGAACACTGGCCGTCCCTGGTGGCCATGTGGGAATATGTAAACAAACATCAGAGATGATGAGGATCTGACCCCGGCACTGGACTGGTTTTCCAAAACACAGCAGCTGGACCACCAGACCATGTCAGATTAGCTCGTTTGAAGAGCTGTGGGTGGTTCTCAGGAGAAGACATGGAAAGACTGTGGAAGGTCAGATGTCTTTACTTTAGAAAAATGTAACCACCAAAGCTTGTAATATTATAATTCATGAATTGAGTAGATTGTAAATGCAAGAGTTCAGATGTTTAGATAAATGCAATCTGATTATGACCCAATACAATTCTCTAACTCCAGATGGATTTCAAGACCTAGATTTCAAGTTAGATTAGATTAGATTAGATGATTTTATTGTCATTACAAAATGGAAGCACAGTGTAACGAAATTAAGGAGGGTCTAACCAGAGTGCAAAACAGTCCGTTATATACACAATTATCAGTAGTATGTACAAATAAATGATACGAAAATAAAGGTAAATAGATGGGAAATGTATAAATAAGAATAAATACACAGATAATAATAAATACAGTGAATACAGTACTGTATAATTGCGCTTCAGCACAGCACACGACAACAACTAGGCAGTATGGGACAGCGTGGGGTTCATTGTCAGCAGTCTGACTGCTGAAGGGAAGAAGCTGTGCGTAGTCCTGTTTGTTCTACCCGGGAGGCTACGGTCCTTTAAAAAAATAAGGCTTCTCTAGCTTCTTATGACTATACAGACAATAGAAGGGTGTCTATCTTCTTATCTTACTCTTGGCATAAAATAACTATTGTAAACGATTTAATCTATGCTATATGCTATTTTAGGTAAGCACACAGTATCGGTATAACCTGTTATAGAGAGAAGGCGAAATGGTATAAGGATGAGCAGCAGAAGGTGGATTGTTTTTATGTTTTCCCCTTTACTGCAATCTAAACAGCCAATACACTTAAATCAGACCACAGCTGGTGTTCCTCATGAGTCACTCGAAACTACAACTCTTTGAGGACATGTTGAAATCTTGCATCCAGCTGGGTGTCAGTGTTACACACTTAAAAGATCACTTTTAGTCCGACACGAATGCCATACTTGATATCTTTCCAGAAAGCTGTATGAATGAGGGCGTCAGCAGAAAGCTTAAATTGTAAACGTTAATGTGATATATGTGCTTGAGTATGTGTGTATGTGTGCGTGTGTGTGGGGTTAAGAGTGTGCATTAAAATTCCCTCTTCCTGCCACCCCCCCCTTCCCCCTGTGTGTTGGCGTCTCCCTGCAGTCTGTGGTATGGAGGGCAGAGCGAGGGCCTCTCTTGTGTCGCCGACTGGAATTACACTTATGGTCATTTAACATGACTTAACGCATGAAGATAAATGGAGGTTTTCCATTTCAGACAGTCCTGTCTCGTTGTTCTGCTGCTTTCTTGACACTGCCTCTACATGTGTTATAGCATGTACAGGCAGTGTCCATGGCATACTCCCCCCAGTAATGTCTTAATAATGTCTGTACGGTAAAAGATTGACTCATAAACAGGAACTTGAAATAGCTGCTCTGCATCTGGTATTCTGATTTTCTTGGGGAGATGTGAAGCAACAACTGCAAATGAGAGAACGCAAACTAAGCATTTATTTGTCACCATTTTTGACACAGGCACTGTTAAGTCGATTAACTTCAACAAGACGTCTTTGTCTTCACTCGTTTTTAATCTTTAAAATCTGTTTCAGCAGTGACCAAAACATATTTGCACAGTTCGTTGACATTATCTGGATAACGTGTATGCAATAGCAGGAATGTTCTCGCTGCACATGAGAGGGAGAGACCATAAAAGTGGGATGCTGACGGGGTCTAGACCAGGGGTTCCCAACCTTTATTGTGCCAAGGACCGGTAGATACATTAAAAAAAATCGCGGACCGGTTGTCAATTTTAACTGATTTTAATATTTACTCACCACCAGCAGGTAGCAACAGAGGCTAATTGTATGTAACAGCCTGAACAAATACTAGAACAATATGCATCCAAAACATATTAACAAAGTTTAAAAAAGAACCGGTGTTGTTTTTTGGTTTTTCGGAAAACCAAAAAACCGACGTTATTCAGTTTTTAAACCAAAACGGGAAAACAGATAAATCAACGTTTTGGTTTTGTTTGTATGATTTACGGATAATCCAGTGAATGCTGGGAAAATGTCGTTCGTTCCGGTGCACTCCCGACAGCATTTAGCACTACATCAAGATTAAGATTAAACTAATTTATTTTGGGAACAGCCGCATATATGCCGGTGTCGGACAGACACAAACACACCGAACACACAGAGCTGAGCTGAGCAGAGCACATACACACACATCATGCGCCTTGGTGACTGACTGGACATCTCCTTCAAAAAACTAATAAAAGGGGGAGTAATCGGGCAGTTCGATGTGTGTAGATGTGTGTGTGGTTAACACGTAGCAGCCTGCAGTCACTCTTAAACTGTTCTGATTAAGTTAAACACAGCGAAGGCGGTGCGTAAAAAGGCACAGCTCTTTACCGAGTATACGTCCCGCTGCCTCCTGATGCTTCAGCCATTTCATGAAGGAGGGTTTCCTTCTATAAAACAGCTGCGGGCAGCAGATCGTGAGAGTCCCGGACATTAATTCATAGATCAAGGCAGACTGGTTTACTCTCCTGTTTTGCCAATCCGGTGCTTAAACAAATAGCTCTACACCCCTGGCCGACATGTCCTTAAAATGAAGTCCGAGTTTGAAATATATCTCAAATAATGTATGCACCACCATTTCCCCACATAAACATAACAGTCTGCAATCAAACGGTTGTCTCCTGTGCGCTCCTCTTCCTACTTGGCGCACCGGTAACATGCTCGTGTGCACAAGAGGCTGAGACCTTAGGCTGAGCCGCCGAATCCCTCGGAACATCATAAAAGCCATTTTCAACGGTTTTCTGGTGAAAGATTAACTAGCTACTGGATGAAATAATATGACTGGTGGCATAGGTGCGAAAATTAAATACTTTTTGAAAAAAAGATTATGATAAAATATTTTTATATATTTATAATTCTGCAAATATTACGATAAACTCACAGCTATTTCGCGGCCCGGCAGTAACACCTCCGCGGCCCGGTACCGGTCCGCGGACCGGGGGTTGGGAACCCCTGGTCTAGACGACTGCAGAGGGATGAGTTCACGTCAGGACATTTGTCAGCCTCAGACCCATGAGGTAGAGCTCTACTTCAAGTCCTTCCTGTCTTCTTCGTGTCAAACGTTTAAACAGAGCACCGGTCCCTGTAGGAAAAGTGTAAATAATTTTAAAATAATAGCTCAATTACCAGCCAAACATTGTCAAACTGTCTTGTCTGTCTGGGACACCTGGTTATAACGATGACATTGTCAATGTTATAAGTAACACCTGATTTTTCTATGACAAGTCAAAAAGACCTGTTTGGAGGATCCTTGAGCACACAATATCCTCACAGGAACCCTTTCATGAGTATAGGTGACTGTGGGTGTAACCTCCAACCAGTGTTTCATGGAGGATAAAGTGATTTTACACCTCAAAATGGCAACTTGA